CCCTCCTCCAAAGGTGGAATGTCGCATTGTCCATCATCGTTCAGTCCGCAAGCAACAGCACTCCCGTCACTTCGCAGAAGCAGTGAATGGTTTGCCCCTGCAAAAGCTTGGGTGTAGCACACACCCTCCTCCAAAGGTGGAATGTTGCATTGTCCATGTCTGTTCTCTCCGCAAGCAACAGCACTCCCATCACTTTGCAGAAGCACTGAATGAGAAACTCCTGCTGACATTGTCACAAACGGGAGAACAACTTGAGTGCTATTTGTTGGCTTGGTTCGCCCGAGATCAATTCGAGTGGCAGTGCAATTATCTGGAATATGTGTTGAACTTTGCACTTTCTTATGTTGTGAGTGGCTGAGAATGTCCAACTGGGTTCTCTTCTTGGTCCGAAAACAGGCAATGTTTTGAAAGCCTCTCAGACTCCCGGTTCGACCAGTTTTCTGCACAGAGTTGAGGGGTTGATCATCCAAACAGTCGATCATTGCAACAAGCGATCCTTACCACGCGCTATAAGCGGGTCTATTTCAAACCCCGGGGGGGCTCTACTAGGCTAAGTTACGGGGCAGCGTCAAGTTGAAGTGGCTGTTGAGACCAAAGCAAACCCAATGTAGAGCGCTTTTTCCCGGGTCCCTGAGGCTTGTGGTCAAGCCAAATCCGCAATGGTTGCCAACGGACTTGCCCTGCAGATCGCGGCCAACAACTGTCCATCAGGCAAGACCAAACGAAGATTTTGAAGGTTTACCTGCAAGTCCCTCGCAATGCGTTTGTGTGTATCCCAGGCCAGGTCAGACTCACTTGCCCTCAATTGCAATACCTCATGCCCAGCCAAATCACAGCATGTCAGCTTAGCTGCATCGTCTTTAAAGGCAACAAACACTTGGAGAATGTAGTCTTTAGCCAAGTCAACAACATAGCAACCTGTTGGAAAAACGGGAGTGTTGCATTGTCCAGCAAAGTTCCCGCCACGAGCAACAGCACTCCCGTCACTTTGCAGAAACACTGAATGAACTTGTCCTGCAGAAACTTGCTTGTAGAACACTCCCTCCTCCAAAGGTGGAATGTCGCATTGTCCTTCATTTTTCCTTCCGCAAGCAACAGCGCTCCCATCGCTTCGAAGAAGCACTGAATGACCTCCTCCTGCAGAAACTTGCGTGTAGCACACTCCCTCCTCCAAAGGTGGAATGTCGCATTGTCCATCATCGTTCAGTCCGCAAGC